AATCACATAGGAAAAAGTAAACTACATTTATATACTGCGAATCGTTTTTTGAATCGAGAATCGTTTTGGAATCGAAAATCGATTTTGAATCGAATCTTGAGACAAAAAATCGGTATCGAATCGTGACATTTTCTGAATCGTGCACCACTAGTAGTATTATTTTATACAGAAATGAATTATTTATAATTCAGATGAGAATAATGTTACATTGTTAATTAATAATGTTAATTAAAATTAAGGAAAACAAATATATTGATCTGAAATATAGCAAATTAATTTTAAATTCATTCAGGTACAATTACCAAACATAATCGCAAGGTCTTTTTGTCTTTTTATTAATTTAATTAATAAACTAATTATATAAAACTATTGTCAGTGCACTACAAATAAACTGGTTCTATGCCTTTATTAATACAACTTATTTAAAAAATACAATGCCTTCTGCATTTTTGTTTTGCTTTTCCCTCCATTGTACCGAAATCGTACCGAACCGTGATGTATGAACCGAACCGTGACTTCTGTGTACCGTTCCACCCCTAGCCATAATAGTAGTATTGTATAAATATTAATATTTGTATATGGTCCTCGAATGTTATATTTCACCAGTATCAGCATTGGGAGTGTTTGCGCAACTTGCATCAAGCCAGTAGGTGGCGACAAGTGACTGTCTTCATGAGTGAACAATTGAACCATTAAATGAACAGATTAGTCCAAAAACAAGTTGCTGAAACCAATCTGTGATGCTCACAGAAATTGCTCATTTGCCTCTGGACACAGAAGTATAGCATTGGCATTTGATTGAAATGTAACATCTATGCAAAATAATCCTTGAATCATTTCACATTTAAGGTCATTCCCGTTTCGAATATGTGATTGTGTTTTGTCAACAGTAAGCATAGACATTCTGCATTTTGTAGTGTGGATCCTTCATTGCAGGATTTAAAGACCCACTCCGATGAAAATAATGTTTTTCTAGGTGTTAACATGTTCTTGAGGCATTTTTCTGATGTTAGAGGACATATCTTGAGAAAAATAAGCTCAAAGTTGTATTTCTGAGTATTTCTACATTCAAATGGCTGTGAATCAGTAGCAGACGCTAAAATGCCGGCTAAAATAGACTGGAGTTGTGACGTAGTAACTCCACTGGGCGTCTCCACACGCGACGTCTTGGAGTGAAATAATGATCGGTGATCTGTGATAACTTTGATTAACTTCGGATAATAATAATTAACGTGTATATAATACTGTTGCCCCACCGGTATTGGGGGTGTAAGCTAGCGGGAGAGACAGAGCTCTCAGCAACGGGCAGGGGGAGGGTCGTCTCCGTGCCAACGGCTCCGCCCACAACGCAGAGGCGAATTGCTAATGAGCTACTGCCGCTCTGCTGAAGCGAAGTCCCAGAAAACGGCACAGGTTTTGAAATTTTGGCTAAAAATTAGTGCTGGGCAAGTTAACGCGTTATCGCGTTAACGCATTTATTAATTAATGCCGACAATTTTTCTATCGCGCGTTAACGCCGTTTTTTATTATTATTATTATTTTGAAAGTCCGTTGCTCACTGGCTCTGAATACACATAGGCCTACAGTCAAACCATGATCACAGGAGGTGTGGGATGTTGGTCAGCCAGCAAATAACCCACCCAAACAAGCAGTGGAGAGGCTTTGGCAGGTTCTCTCAGGTGAACAGAAAGGGAGACAGCGCTCCGTGAGTGAATGACAGGCGCTCTATGGATAGTAACCATGGCAACGGCTTCTGTGCGCTACGCAGCTGTAGCCTTTTTAACTTAAATTAAAATTATACATAACTTTACCTGATAGGCCTGCGTTTAGTTTAGTTTATGCTCTGCCATGTGAATGCCCTCCTGTTGATGTCCTGATAACTATTTAGATTCTGGAAACTCACAAACAGCGAGCCGAGGATCAGTCTCTCTTCCAAAGATTTGTGCTGCGCGTCGTGTACAAAAAGTTAGACAATTCAACTTCGGCAACGCGCGTGCGAGAGGCGAGCATGACCGCAACAGTTTCACAGGAAGGCACCCGCTTGTCGCTGCACCTGTGCTCGACCACTTCACCTCACTCTTTTCGGCTGATTTATACTTCTGCGTCGGACCTAAGCCGCAGCCTCTAGTCTACGCTATAGACTACGCGTTGGTTTTCATTTCTATATCTGCGTCGTTATCCGCGTTGACGCGCAATTACACATTCAGAGGGAGAGTGTGAAACCCGGGGAGCGGTTCTAGCAATCACAGCGCTTGCAGTACGCGTAGAATTGACGTTACATTTTTGGAGAGATGCACGTCAGGGTACGCGCGCTACACAGCTACGGCGTGAGTTCGACGCAGAAGTATAAATTGACCGTTCGCAGGCCCCTCCCCCAAAACGGCTATTGTCCAATCACACATCATAGCAACCGTTACTATGTGAGCAGGTCCGTCAAACATTGACTCCAAGCAAGATGGTGAAGCGGTGCGCCCACGGCGTTTGTAAATCGGACACTAGGTACCCCGAGAGATTGTCTGGAGGAGTTGTGTTCTTTCCGTTTCAAAAGCCGAAAACACAACGTGCGCTGTCCCTACAATGGATAAAAACAGTGTGGACGGCCCCACTCCCAGTTAAATGTGTCGAACATGGTTAACTCGTGTGCAGCGTGCGTGAGACTGAGACAATGAGATTAGTCAAAGACACATGGAGAAAGCAGATCAAGAGGATCCACAAAGGAAGTACGTTTTCTAAAGTGTTGTTGTTAACATGATATTTTCGGGGGGAAATGAGCAGCAGCACCTGTAGACTACAGTTTAGACTAACGTTAGAGGAGTGCACGTTCGCAACGGGGAACGCATGAAGCTTAACTTACTTGACAACATCAGTTCATATCAATATCGTAACGAATATAAATAATGTATGGTTATCTGCATCTTTCCGTCTATTATGTATAGTTACTTTTTAAACACGAAAATCGCATTCAGCATGACACGCAAGCGGTTGCCGTGGTAATGAACAACCTGCTTGTTAAAGAGAATGAATAATCCTGTATCTGAGGCAAAATTACTAAATATGCAGCGCGAGTTATATATTTCTAACTCCAAACAATTAGCCACTGAAACAGGTTATAGAATCTTCTTCAAGGCTGTGCTGGTTGCATTTGAGGTAACGTTACAGGTCATGGGGTTTCTCAGATTTCGCTTGAGAGCTTGAGAGCATTATTAGCCTCGATAGTAGTCGTGTCTCCTTCATTGCGTATTTTTATATTTTGAATATATCCCTCCACTGCATACTGTAACCCCTTTTGCCTCGATCTGGAGGATATCGCGGAGGTATTGCTCCAAAAAAGGTCACTGACGCACCTCTTCCCGTCATGGCAATCTGTGGCGCTGGTCGTGTTTGACCATTTTTTTTGACGGGCGTAGCAACAATAACTAGGGGGCGTGGCTTTTGCGAACGGTCAATTGGGCTTTACCTCTGTTTAATGTAATCTTACGTGGGAAACCATGGCATGCCATGACCAAACCTAAGCTGCTATCAGAGAAGTAACGTTGGTCGACTTATATCTGTAGTAGTGATCATGACCCTTTGACTACATAGACTGTTTCTGCTGCTCCCTGATATACAAGATACCTGTTCAGAAAAAAAAAGAAAAAAAAAAGACAACTGGACTCGTTTTAACAAGCTAGATAAAAGGTAATGCCCTGGCAGTGGCAAATAGCTTTGTTTAAATATTTGATTTGATTACGTTAATGTTTAAGTTGAGATTTACAAGAAATATTTTATTGATACTGTGTAAAGGGAATACTGCTGGTATAAAAGCACCTTATTTGTTTAAAGTTTTTGCAAACCACATGTTATTGCACTTTTGTAGCAGTACATTTAAATCAAAAATGCGCAATTCACTACTTTAGAATTCATTATTCAATTTTGCGCGTAACAATGCGATTAATCACGATTAATCGCAAGAAAATCATGCGATTAATCGCGATTAAATTTTTTAATCATTGCCCAGCACTACTAAAAATGACATAATCATAATTTAAAGACCACTGGGAATGTTTAAAAATAGCTCAAAATATGATCGGAGTGGGACTTTAAACTGATTCTCATGTTTAAGAATCTACCCACGAACTACCATAGCAGGATCACTATAGCAAGGACCTCGGTATTTATAAAATCCTGCGTACGGCCCTGCTCATGCTGTTCACTTTTCATATAATCAACATGGATAAAATAAAAAAATAACATTTTATATTATTTATTTATAATGGCTAGGTTTAATACGGATACTATATTATGTATAGTTTGTGATATTAGCTCACTTTTCAGCAAAAGCTCTGTTGGCTTTTATTATTTGAGAAATAAAAACTTGTTAAAGTTATGCAAATGGTTAATTATTTATATGACTACATCACAAAGAGTCCAGTCTTGTAAAAGCATTAGATTGAAAACATGGAAATTTCATAAAGTGTGTAAATCATTGAAACGCAGTTCAAAATGGCCTTTCTTTAAATGCAAATGTTCTTTGAGTATTTCATTTGTGAAGGTATAGTGAGTCATGTAAGTCATGTAATTATAAGAAGAAACAACTGCTCTTAAACTGTGTGTGTGACAGGCTGTGGAATGTGGTTTGGCTAAGGAAAATTCAGTCAAAAGATTTTTTTTTTTTTTGCTTTAACCCCTGTATTATGCTAATGGCACAGAGGAACAATATTGTTAATCACTTTCACTACTATATTTTGTTCCAGCTGATAAACGCAAAACATTGACTTATGAAATATTGAGGAAATCCACCCTGCTTTGAGCTCAAGCATTTTAAGCGGCAGAGAACACAACTGCAACACTGGCTTATTAATGGAACAATATTGTGCGTTGGAGTGGACTAATGTAGTTATTATAGTTGTCTTTATAGTTAACTTATCTTGGTGTGAATGGGCCTTTAAAATGTGTTTCCTAAATTTTGCACATTCCTAAGATTCCTAAAATGTTTTCCCTGTGTCTTTCTTTCTTTATAGCCTTATTCTTACTCCAGTCCTCCAGGGTTTATGGTCCCACCTGTGCCCATGAACTACGCACAGACCACGTATGCCTACCAGGTACATGCAAACATATGGTCACATTGCTTTCATCACTCAGATAAGCATACTTGAATTTCTAAAAACTCTGAGTTTACACAAGATATCCAACCATTGTTTTTTTTTTGTGTGTATTTATTAGTATCCCCTGCCACAGTGGTGTGGAGAGCAGAGGACGAGGCTTGTCAACCAGGTCAGCTCCACTTCCATTTTTTGGGGGGTTGGTAAATGAGGGATTGAGCACAAGAGGTTCAACTGGATTGTTGTAGTTGTATCTGAAAATGCCATTCCTATAAATATTTTTAAATCAAATTGATCAAAAGTGAAAGTAAAGACACTAATGTTACAAGATATTTCTATTTCAAATAATTGCTGTTGTTTTAAACTTTTTATTCATCAAAGAATCTTAAAAAAAAAAGTAGCAGTTTTCACACAAATATGAAGCTGCTCAACAGTTTTCAACATGAGCTATTTCCATCGACCATTTTAGTGCATATTTTTGGATATCACATTAAAAAAAACAGTATGGAAACCTCCGGTGCATTTTCTAAAAATAAACAAAAAACTTGTGGTCAATTGAGCTTCATTTCACTTTTTCTGGGTCCGTTCTAAAACTTTTTTAATTTATTAATTTTACAGATGCTTTCATCCATATCAAATGAGTAATAATGTATTTTTTTTCTCTGTTGTATTTTGGAGGTGCACCAATATTTGTTGTACCTCATATGAAACTTAATTTGAATTGGTGAGGTAATGTAATTGCCTAGGATATAACCGAACAGAGATATTAGCCACATTGGTTTGCCCTGTAAATTAAATTGAGAAGAGTGTGTGTAAGCTAGTCTGAAACTGCTGCCTCTAGCGTTTTAATATTACTTGCAAAGCTGTCAGTGCAGTGTATCAATAAGCACTGGCAAGCTAAATCAAAACATAGTATCAAAATTGGGTCGCATTTGAGAGAAAGTCTACAATATCTGTGTAAATTCCTAACTTCTCTTACTTTTAATCTTGCTTTTCATTAATTGAGCCGTATTAAATAAGAAGAGAACTTATAAATGTAGATGAAGGATAAGCAGTGCAATGTTGTGATAAGAAAATGCTTCTATATATGCATGCAATGTGTTTTGAAAGTTAAGCTTTAAGACATTAATACCACACAGTGCACTGGCCAATAGTTAGTGAAGATTATATTTGATTGTTGTGCTGTGGTTAGCCTTTAGATGGCAGTGCTGACTGGGTATAAAAACTGCAAACACCTGCAGGGAAATAAAGTGGGCCAACATTGAAAGGCTCATTAATATAAGAAGAGTGAATGTGTGACTTTGTCTTTCAGAACTACGTGGATTGTGGAGTCCAGACTTTGCTAACCCTTCTGTAGCTAAACCTTCACACAACTTTTTTTGGTGAGTTTTTGTGCACCTAAGATGAAGAATACGGTCTTAGGTTTTCTTGAGTCACTTTTAACGAGTCACTGTTTCTTTTTCTTAGGGTAGACTCCCATAGAAGCAGAGGAGAACAACTTAATGGAGATCAAGCAGTGCACTTCATTGTCTGTGTTTTCAAACCGTTGCAGATAGGGTCATCCTGGGTGTGATGTGGAGGTGTATTTTGAGGGGACAACATTACAGTATGATCATATGATCAAATCAATCTAAGGCCTCACATCCACTCACTGAAACATTTGACGAGCTTTGTTCGCTTTAGCCTATTCCACCCATTTATTTGTATTGTCTGTGTTTCTCTTTTTTCTTCATGGCCAACTAACTTTAAAGACACTTTTAAGCTCACAAATACATATTTATATTTTATTTATGTTTGCTTATTTTAAAGTTTGACTCACTGTTGGTGATTCACCATATGCATTTAGGTAGCTGTTCTGACATGTTCTGTGTTATTTTAAACCAATGTTCATTTGTTTACTAATTCAAGCTGGCGAGTGTTCACTGTTAAAATTGTTTTGTTTTGGGGTTTTCACGTTCAGGGCACAAGTTCAGATTTTCTCTATTTGGTTATTGAGCACCAGGGTACAGTGGCTCCCATTCCCCTTTTTTTACTCTACAAATCTACTTTCATTCATCAGTAGTTATCACTGTACTTCCATTAATTTTTTTTCCCTTGCTGCTGGTTTTCTTTCTTGTTAGTGCAGTTAAAAGGTGTAAATAAAATCATTGCATTAATTCATAAATTACAATAAAATTTTATACTCAGCCCTGTAAGTCACAGCAGGTCACAGGACGGTTGACTTGTTTTGAATTAAAGCGATGACGGAATATTGATATCACTGTGTGAACACAGTCAGGCTGCCTTTTTCTATTTTTCCAGCACTTTTTCGCACCAGTTCCCTTGTTAATTGAGTTTTGTTTTTTAAAGTTTGCAAAGAGTTGGGTGTTTTTGAACACAAAGCACTGTCATTTTATACCTATTGTTACAACACTTGTTTTTTTTTATGGGGGGCTGATTTAGCTGTAGCAGATTCATCACATTTTTTTAAAGCGAACTCTGACTGACTTGTATTGACATTTCACAGTTTTATTTCCTCAGTTCCCATGGCCTCATGGGAGTTGTGGTTTCTATTGTGCTATAGTCTGAGAGCTGCTTCTAATCATTGTACTCTGGGTTTGCTATGTATATATGTTTTGGATTTTGATGTTGGCATTGTATGGTTTTGCTGTTTTTGTTATTAATAAAAAAAAACAATTGAATTAACTTATTTTTGCCTCTTGTTTATTAATGTTGCTTGTTTACTGCAATATTGGCACCAGATTTGTAAAATAATGCAAAAAAAAAAAAGGATTTCTTAACTGGTAGTTTGTGAGCTCCATTTGTGGTGGTTGTTGTTTGTGGGGGGGGGGGGGGGGGGTATTGCTGTTACTGAATCATTATTTTATAATGACTAAGATGAAATGTTTGGAGAATCTTGATGTTTAATTCTGTGAAAGGTGTTATACTGTGTTGGTCTCATCCCTTTTATGGTCTGGCCAGATAGACTTTAAATAATGAATTGGTCACTGCTGATTCAAATTAGATATGAATTAAATGCTGCTTATACCAATGAATATGCTTTAAAAAATAAATATATATATATACACTCACCGGCCACTTTATTAGGTACACCTGTCCAACTGCTCGTTAACACTTAATTTCTAAGCAGCCAATCACATGGCGGCAACTCAGTGCATGTAGACATGGTCAAGACAATCTCCTGCAGTTCAAACCAAGCATCAGTATGGGGAAGAAAGTTGATTTGAGTGACTTTGAACGTGGCATGATTGTTGGTGCCAGAAGGGCTGGTCTGAGTATTTCAGAAACTGCTAATCTACTGGGATTTTCACGCACAACCATCTCTAGGGTTTACAGCGAATGGTCCGAAAAAGAAAAAACATCCAGTGAGCGGCAGTTCTGTGGGCGGAAATGCCTTGTTGATGCCAGAGGTCAGAGGAGAATGGCCAGACTGGTTCGAGCTGATAGAAGGGCAACAGTGACTGAAATAACCACTCGTTACAACCGAGGTATGCAGCAAAGCATTTGTGAAGCCACAACACGCACAACCTTGAGGCGGATGGGCTACAACAGCAGAAGACTCCACCGGGTACCACTCATCTCCACTACAAATAGGAAAAAGAGGCTACAATTTGCAAGAGCTCACCAAAATTGAACAGTTGAAGACTGGAAAAATGTTGCCTGGTCTGATGAGTCTCGATTTCTGTTGAGACATTCAGATGTTAGAGTCAGAATTTGGCGTAAACAGAATGAGAACATGGAACCATCATGCCTTGTTACCACTGTGCAGGCTGGTGGTGGTGGTGTAATGGTGTGGGGGATGTTTTCCTGGCACACTTTAGGCCCCTTAGTGCCAATTGGGCATCGTTTAAATGCCACGGCCTACCTGAGCATTGTTTCTGACCATGTCCATCCCTTTATGGCCACCATGTACCCATCCTCTGATGGCTACTTCCACCATGTCACAAAGCTCTAATCATTTCAAATTGGTTTCTTGAACATGACAATGAGTTCACTGTACTAAAATGGCCTCCACAGTCACCAGATCTCAACCCAATAGAGCATCTTTGGGATGTGGTGGAACGGGAGATTCGCATCATGGATGTGCAGCCGACAAATCTGCGGCAACTGTGTGATGCCATCATGTCAATATGGACCAAACTCCCTGAGGAATGCTTCCAGCACCTTGTTGAATCTATGCCACGAAGAATTGAGGCAGTTCTGAAGGCAAAAGGGGGTCCAACCCGTTACTAGCATGGGGTACCTAATAAAGTGGCCGGTGAGTGTATATATAAAACACCCACAGATTAATCTGGGACTATACTACGACCTGGCAAGTTCTTGATCATTGACATGTACTCGCTTTAATACTCTTTTCAATTTAAAAAAAAGAAACTCCAGTTTCTGGTTGTAGAATAAGTTTAATTCTGTCATGGACTGTCTGAATCATAATGAGCAATGATGTCTCATTGTCTTGAACATTAATCTGCATGTACTGTAGGAATCTACAATATATGATAAATTAAAAAAACGTATTGTTTTATTGGGATTACAAATTTATTATGCCATACAACGAATTGATATAAACTTGACAGAAACTTGAAATGAAATAATTATTTTTAAAAAGCCCATAAAGTGGATTATTGGTGGCGCTATAGAGCCATTTTAATTTGGGGTTTTAGGGTTGTATTTAATAAACGAGGAAGCTGATCCAGAGATTCCTTGGATAACATTGAACTTTGGAATCAACAGTTTCTCTTTTTTGGTGTGAATTAGGGCGCCATTAGTCAAATAGTTCTGGGTTCTAGTGGATACTGTTTTGTTTTTTTCTTCCCCGTTTGACTACGATGTTGAAGGTGAAACGAGAGACAAAAGGAGAGCTATTTGGAAACCGTGGAGGGCATCTTTCCCCTTTCATTCTCAGGAGGGGAGGAGGAGGAGGAGACGTTAGTAAGCACACTGTATTGAGTGAAGGAGTCGCCACAGCAGAAATGAACTGAGCTCATCATCTGCTCACCTGCTTCCAGTTCTCTCTCTCACACACACACGCACGCGCGCGCGACGGCATGAGAGTTGAGAAACCGACAGAAAGCTAAAAGAAACGGGAGAGAAGCGAAAGATAGCCTAATTAAGGGAGAAAGAAACGGCAGAGGAGACACAAATCGAGAGAGACATTATCAAAGAACAGCTGCAGGTATGTTCACTCTTTTAATGATTGTGTGTAGTTTCTCTCACTGAACCCTAATCTAACACTGTTAACTTTCTGATTCTACCCGTAAGTCACTGGTTTCTTCCTTCTCTTCTTTCTTTCCATGTTCTCGCTATACTTGTAATAAATGCAAACTTCAATGCTTTTATTTGAGCTTGTATGTGAGTCGCTTTAAAGTTCAAGCTCACTTCTATTTTTGAATACTGTGTGCATGTGCAAGAGAACAGCAAAAATGTCAAAGACTTTCACATTTCCATTCAAGTAAAAAAAAAAAAAACATTTCCATTTGCATGAATGGTTTTTTTTATAATTCTACATATAACTACTATATAACATTACATGTTTAGTGTTTAGGCTTTTTGTCACAAAACCTGAAGCAGTTTTGAAAGGGTCATATTGTACATTTTATTTTAATTTTTAATGTGGCCCACTATAATAGCGTTAGTCACATTCTTTGCTCATACCGTATAATAGTCAGAATTTAGTTTGTGATAATTTTCCCTATGATCTTTACAATTAAATGGACAGTTTTCTGTGACTAATGACTAACATTTTTATTGTAAATAGACCACGGAGGAAAAATGTTTTTTTTTTAACTGTTGTGGACTTTTTCGCTCCTTTGTCTTTAAGAATTTAATTTAAATACTGTCTTTGCATGTGAAAAGAAAATTGGTGCTGCAATATACAGTAGTTTACCTCGGCCCCTATACTTTAATAGCCTTTTAGAAAGAGTGCCACTCAACTCAAAATGTGCCACAACTCAAACTCAGACTGAAATGATCTAAATTAAACTTCTGGATCTTTCCTAATATTAGTATATGCAGAGCCGCAGGTG